AAAAGTACTAAGGCAAGGGCTAAATATGAATACTTTTCGAGTTATTTTTATTCTGATATTTTTCACAAGATGTGAAATATCTAAAAATATCTAATAAAGTATTCGCTTTTCGATAAAATTATTTCATGCTTTTGTGCGTAAAATGACAAGTGGAATCGATCGCTGTAAGTAAACATAGGAAAAAAATAAATTGCATTTTGCAATTTAAAAAAATACATTGCATTTTGCAAATACATCAATGTGCGATGATAAATATTAGTAATCGATTTCTCTCATATTATTATGCAGAAAAGTATTAAAGTGATGTTATCGAAAAGTGAATACTTTACGAGATATTTCATATCTTATATTGAAAAATATAAGAAGGAGAAATAAAATATCTCGAAAAGCACTCACTTATGATCGACGATCTTACTTTAGTACTTTTATACGCAAAATAAACGGAGAAGTCGATTTGTATTAGAAAAAACAATATAATTCCATTTGAAAAAATGAAGTTGAAATGATCTTGAATTATTGACAGTACGACGAAGTTGAGGTCACCAACTTATATCTTCCTCCAAGCCCTACAACTTTGTCCGGAACATTTCTTTCTATTTTGTTTTATTTTTTATATATTTAAGTTTCTAAAGTTAAGTGACTCACCCTACGTGCGCGCGCGCGCGCGCGCGCGTGTGTGTGTGTGTGTGTGTGTGTGTGTGTGACTATCGTTAGTATTTGTCATAAATAAATAGTTTGTAAAATAGCTTATAAGATAATGAAGCAAGAAGAACGATTCACACAACACCTATTTCTCTTCAGAATTAATTGAAACTATAACGAATGAAACGATAGCGGTAGACATAAATTTCTTGTAATGATTAGTTTGGTACAAGAATATGTATCTATTTGGTATAAAATTTCATATGTGTGAAATAATGATATAATTAGTGTAAGTAGAGCTATCTAATATAAGTATTTTTATAAATCAGAAGTCATCTGTAGCTGGAGATGCAATATGACGTTTTAGTCATCGTCATTAATCAAGCGTGCTTAACATTCTATGATAATAATTGCCCACAATGTCAATCTTATTCCATCTAATGTATGTTTATTTAGCTTGGTTGCTACGTATATCACGAGTACACAGAGATCGGTCACTCACTTATTGCCTAAGTATATTCTATAAATCGAAATAGAAATATACGAATATCTTTCTCAGTTTTTTAAACAGCCTGCGCCTATATCCGCCTTGCATGTAAGCCAACACTCGTCCTTCCGTTCGTCCGTCCATCTCTTCGTCAGAGGTAGCCGTTTCTTCATAATACTTTTGATGCGATAAAATATGTGCTTACAGTTTCAGCTTATTTTCCGTTAATAATCAATCATATGGCCGTATATTACGATCTATTTATATCGCGAAATACATTTTGCATAAGAGCAATGATATGATTCTTGAACGACTGGCGTAATATTTTCGAATTAGGAGGAATGCTTCTCGATAAAGACAGCTGCATCGATTATTTCTACTCTCTTATAGACTATATTATCTGCATTCTGTAATCTCTTTTTTATTAATGATTATCTTTCGCTTTTGCTTAACACGCAGCATAAAGGATAGCGGAGCAGCAGTACAGCATTGTTGGTTAAAATTTGAGCACCTGAAGTGTTGTAAGAACAATAGCAGAGTCTCTACATTCAACACGGCGTGTTACAACAAGACAGAAGTCTCAACGTTGGAGACACTGTGCATAAAAAAAATGAAAAAGTGAGGAATAAAGCGAGAAAGTAGGAAAGGGGAGGGAGGGGCAAGAGGGAAAAATGAAAGAGAAGCAGTGAGTGAGAGAAAGAATACGGGAGGAGAGGTGGAACAATTTACGCGAGACAATGGAAAGAGGAAAAGGATAAAGGGAAAGAGGGCAAGGAAAAGAGATTCAGGGTTGATTCTCTTCGTTTCCATATATACACACATACATACACACACACATACATATAGCCTCTATTCATATATTATATATACACTATACAAATCTCCTTTACCTCTGGTGCGGGGATTGCACTCATTTCTTCATCAACGCTATCATTCTCTCTCAAATTGTCGTATGTTATGCGTCGCTCTACACACGCGCGCGCACGCACGCACGCACGCACGCGCGCGCACACACACGCACACACACACACACACACACACACACACACACACACACACACACACACACACACACACACACAAAAGCCCTTAACTAAGTTTCACACTCTTAAATGATTTTCATGCAAATACTATGTTTTTGTGATGTATGAAAACAACGCGCACGCATCTACTAAAGCTCGTTTGAATATTAAATCGTTTCATTAATGTTACGACCAGCTGACCGTATATTTGCACCGACACCAAAGGTCTACCTCAGTTCTCTATATGCTGACGTACAATTAAGAAACAATATAATAGTAAATTTTTAGCTTATTCACGTTAGAAGTATTTAACATTTTACGTCATGGTATGTGAATACCACTGTTATTTAATATTTAAGTCATTTGTTTGACTCAAGAGTTTTTTCAATGTGCGCACAGTGTCATCTCGCACGTGACAAGGCGCACGTTTGAATTAACATCGTCAATATAGAAATTTGTTTAAAGCTTACTAAAAACACAAGTTTTGTTCCACAATTTCTGTGGATGTGTAAAATATTTTATAAGTATGACGTATCTAAGAGACCGAGTGTCCTTTCATTCTCACATTGCTTATTTCTTGCTTCTGTACATTTCAGTGGTCGATCGAAATTTACGTCGCCGATTGAACTCGATTGTTTTTTTGTAATATAGAATACCATCGCTATGTCTTGCACACTCATTTTCATTTGTACATATTGTGTAATTGTAGATGCGTAAAATAGAAATTTTTATTGAAAAAAAAAATGCTAAACGATTGCGTTATAGTTTATCCATTATTTTACGTGTGAATGCTGATATGGTACGCTTAGTGCGAACCACATTCGTCTCAAACATCAGAGGCCTACAAAGTGTTGAGGATATAAGAACAATCTCACGATTGAACAGCCAATAGTTAATCGTTATGGTCAGAACTAAGACATAAAAACGGAAGGATCTTCGAGAAATTTTGTACACAACTTTCATTTTGAGGTGTTCGAAACTGTAGAACAATTCGTTTGATTAGCGAGTGTGATGTGTGAAAACAGTTTTTGTTCAATCGAGGTTAAGGGAAAGAGAGAGACGCGAAGAAATTTTATAAGAGCGAAAACCAGCTAAACGAACCAATATATGTGATGTGACTTTACTAAATGACATTGTGCTTGTTCGCCCCTAAATTCGGCGTGACTTATTGATCTTATGATTTATAGTTTCTAGTCGTTTATCGTAGTGTCGCTTATCATCGCGAACACAAGTATATAATGGAAGACTAAGGACAACGTGCTCCTTTTTCACAGCCTTTTACAACAGAGAGCCTAAATAAATAGCATTCATATGTGAGCAGTAATGCTGAGTCGCTAATGTTGAATAAAACATAAACATTAGTAGGGTTGATAACATTATTATGTATCGTTTGATACTATTCATTAATTTTTCCGTCAAATCATGCAGTCCGTCACCCCAACTGTATAGTTTATTTCTCTGATTATATAATCAGCGTCTTGTTCATCTAACGTATTGTACTATGCAGCTCACGCGTTACGATATTACGCTTCGTTATAAAGAATGTACTATATTATATTATATATATTCAAATGTTTATATTGTTTCTCTAGAAATCACTTTCGGTATATACACGCATTTACGAAACTTTGATATACCGGTATAAACAATTAAATGTATGGCAGTCTGGCTTCTTTAGGGATTCTTGAGAGAGAGAGAGAGAGAGAGAGAGAGAGAGAGAGAGAGAGAGAGAGAGAGATCTAAGCATTGAATTATTTATTGAAGCAAAGGTGGAACGGCTGATAATTCCATGCATCTCAGTGAAAATCAAGCGCACAACACATATTTATTCATTGCTATTCAACTTTTACGCGTCCCTATATAAAATCTTCCACGACACGAGCGAGTGACGTTATATCACAATAATGATGTGCTTAATAATTAATTGATTGTTCCAAACAAGCCCATAGTCCACACAGCATAATGTTATTCTAAGGTGATGGCGGGATGTTTAAAGCAAGTTGTGCAACTGATTATCCTTAGTCGATGTAGTTGTGTAGTTGCGCGTTATAGTCTTAAGATTGTTACTATTTGCAAGTTGTTTGTTCACTGTAATATCAAATCTCATCAAGAATTTCATTAGAGTATGATGTAATTTGGCACATAGTGGAGAATGTTGTAAAAAAATGGAATTCCGTGTGACTATATGAATCTCTTGTCCACATACTTTATACATACACGTATAGAAATATTGTTTCCACCTAGCACACACACACACACACACACACACACACACACATATGTACACCGATGTTCTTACACGTATGTAAACATATTCATATGTGCATATACGTTCGCATCTCACCGCTAATTGAAATAAAATATCTGTCTGTTGTAAAACTACCCTTGCTAATCAAATATTATTTGATATTATCGCAAAAACGTATTCTCAAATCGATATGTTTTGAAATGTTTAACTTGTATAGTTTTAGCGTACATTCTTTCTTCTTTCTTTAAAGTTACGTAATAGCCAGCTACACACCAAGGAAACATTTTTTGTATATATTTTATGTGTAGTGAATGAATCGGTGATCGATACAATATGTCACGATCCTATGGAAAAAAAACGCCAGGAACATATTAAAGAGCTAATTGTGACTGAACAAGCTTACATAGAAGATATGAGGCTAGTACATGAGGTATATTCTTTTCTCTTTGGCATGTTTTATTATTTTTTTTCTTTTTTTATTTTGTTTTTATTTTTTTTTTTTTACCAAATACACATATTTAGGGTGTCACGGATTTATTCTTCCTTTCATCTGAAGATCTTTTACGTTGGGTAGATGAAATTCATATGGTGGTTAAAGTAACACACACACACACATGGGACAAAAGCTCATCCTTTGTTGAACTTTCCGCGAACTTTTATTTCAACATCAAGTCCAGGCTAGTTGTGCCCTAACCGGAGTCTTTGGACTATTTCCTGGATTATTTGGCAAATTACACCGTAATCACACATGGTGGTATCTTGGAGAAATGAAAGGAAAAATGATTGATAAATACGCGGGTCTTCCGGATATTTTCCGGGTAGTGTCCGTGAATTTTATACGAAATATCCAGGTGTGTGTACCCGGTTCGATAGTACTGGTCGGAACGACATATGTTCAAAAGATTTAAGGGGAATACTTGATTCCAAATTGATGGGATTGATATACGAAGATGAAGGGACGAGCAAAGGGAGAAATCTAAGACATCTATACGTATTTTATATACATATGTGGATTTATTTTAGGTTTTCGAGAAACCGTTGATCGAAAGTCTAGTCTTGAGCGTCGATGAAATAGAAAAAATATTTATTAATTGGAGAGATATTATCGCGTGTAACGACAACTTTTTAAGGTAACCAGAATTTCTTTGTTAATATTTTTAATGTATTTTGGTTTTATTTAAATTTCTAAGATACATGGATGAATTTTTCCAGAACATTACGAATAAGAAGAGACAATAGTTATGGTGGAATAGTTAGAATGATTGGAGATATATTATGTGAAAATGTGAGTATATTTACGATTTTAACAAGAAAAAATTGCACGCATGTGTTTTCATTTAAATTTGTTAATACAATTTTATACGCATTTTGTACAGATACCTAGGATGTCAGCTTACATAAGATTTTGCAGCTGTCAAATATCTGCTGCAATGTATTTGCAATGTTTAACAGAAACTTCGCAGGAATTTGTTCGAGTTGCGCACGCGTGTCAACAAGATCCACGAACGAAGGGAATGCCGTTGAGTTCATTTTTAATTAAGCCGATGCAAAGAATAACCAAATACCCGCTTATTATTAGCAAGGTATGTGTGTGATTTTTGCGTAATAATTATAATTTACATTCTACGATGACACTCGATGATTATAGATCTTAGAATACACGCCGATCGATCATCCCGATAGGCAATATCTTCAAGAGGCATTGGCAAAATCCGAGGAATTTTGTATTCAGGTAAAGATCGTCAGACGAACAAGTTGGTATAACATATTGAAAACTGTAACTCTGGCGTATGAATCTTGTATAGCATGCAACACAAAGTTGATCAATCTTATTATTTAATATCGTACAGGTAAATGAAGGAGTAAGAGAGAAAGAAAATAGTGATAGGTTGGAATGGTTGCAAACTCACGTGGTATGTGATGGTCTTGAAGAGCAACTTATTTTCAATTCTTTAACTAACTCATTAGGCCCACGGAAACTTATACATTACGGTATACTTCATAAGGTGATGAAAATTACACAAAAATGTCACGTAAACTTCGAGATTTTGTGCCGCACATATTCGATTATTTACATCAGTGTCTCCACATTTTTGTTCAGTCAAAAAGCGGTAAAGAACTCGTTGGCTTTCTTACAAATGATTTCCTGCTATTCGTCCAACCGGTGAAATTCTCCCTGTCGAGCTGTCAACAATTTTCATTTGAACGTAACGAACATCAAAAGTTTAAGATGTATAGGAAGGTACGTGAAACGCCTTGGAAAGTAAGAAAGGATGTATAGGCCAGAAATTTTCATACAATCATCGTGGAGTGACTCATTTCTTTCTCGTAGCCAATATTTCTCAACGAATTGTCTTTGCTCGGAGAAAGCGATGGAAACGGAAACAGTAATCTGAGCGGAAATGACGTAGCCGACAGTTCATCGAAAACCCTAAGACTGAAAGACCTAAAGAAGCCGATAATATTATTAGCACCGTCTTCGAGCGAGTGCTCATTGTGGACGAAACGAATCTTAGAGGCGCGTAGAAAATTTTTAGAAAACGAGAGGAATTGCCTGCAGAGACAACGGTCGAGTGAGTTTATGCAATATATATATATATTACTTTTGTAACCGTCATTGTTGCTTTCTCACGTTGTTTGGATATAATGCTTACTCGTTGTTTCTTATTACATCGTCGCGATATTGCGTTTGCACAGTCTCTGTGTGATATAATAAATTTAATACACAACTTGTGATTCTCGGCGATATCAATCAACGATTTATATGGATTTATTATGCGGATAAGCAGAGCAGGCGCAATTTGGAGCGTGCGGCAGAATCCTTGTCACTGTGCTCGAGGGCTTCAACTTGAAAGCCCCATCCGGTAAGCATCCGGCGCGCATGATCAAGGTGGCTCCACGCATGATAATCGCTCACTTTGTTTATTTATTGTAACGCGTGTGTTCAAGCTGTGTGTAGATTTTGTTGTGTTTGTATATATTTGTATGTTTCGACTGTGTATAAAACATGGAAGAGGAACTAATGAAATATTTCGTGTATACTAATCTTGGTGTTATAATTGCATGTAGCGCTTTACTACTAACAGAAATCTGCCATGTTTATAGTTCGCAGGAGAACTCCCGAAGGTAGGCTGCGACTAGTAGTTGTGGAAGCTGAAGATCTTGTCTATGGCAGAAAAGGTAGAGTATCGAGATATCGTTTAATAGCACGAAATATTGCTTGTTCCCCATATCGGTTCGTAAATCGAAGGTCATCAAATCAGTTGATCGAAACTCGGTGAGATCGTACTGATTCTTCTTTCGTAGCGGTACATCATGCTTTTGCATGCATTTGGCAAAACTATTTCAATTTCTTTTTTTTTTCTTTTCACAATTAATTACTTTACCTGTTTTATTGTTTGTGAAATTTTTTCCAAACCAAGAAAAAAAATGACGCAGAAAATTATGTTAAGATGATGGTCATAAACCGATTAAATCTTGCAGTACAAAATATTTCTCTAGCTATTATTTATAATTCGATATCGAAGCATTTCAATTTTGCGACGCAAGTACGATCAACTTTCATATCAGTGAATAAATCGTGGTTATAAGAGTGCTGCTTAGGTCTGGGATAGCTTGAGTGTAGTGGTTGCCGCAAGGACTAACCGCTTGAAAGGAAAAATGGGGAGAATATATACAATTGTAAACTTATAACATTATTATGAAGAATTATTATGCGTGTTCTCCACTTTTTTTTTTCACGACTCATACGCGCATATATATGCATTTCTTCGTTCACTTGCAGGAAAATGTAATACATTTTGCAAAGTGTCTATGGGATCTCAAGAGGAAAGAACCGGTGTCGTATCCGGGACTGATTGTCCTTTGTGGGATGCCTCGATGCAATTCCAAGTAAAAGATTTACTGGAGGATACTCTCTGCATCACAGTATTCGATAAAGGATACTACAGTCCTGACGGTATGTCTCACGTATAACAATCCTTAAGGCGGTAATTTTCGGTAATTTTACACAATTATTCAACTGGCGATGTTGAATGTTGTTGGCGCAGAGTTTCTTGGCCGCGCCGAAATCAGAGTGGCTGACATAATGAGAGATAGCAAGGATTCCTGTGGACCGATCCAAAAGAGGATAAAGTTGCGTGAAGTCGAAAGCGGCGATGTCGTTCTCAAGCTTGATCTTCGGCTATTTGGTAACAGATGAAATGCATAGTGCGAATCTATCTAATTGTATGCGTAAAAAATGTACAGGATTTACGAGGAAACGTGTAGTGGCAAAAGGCGCTAAAGCCAATTTTTTTCTATCCTTTTTTTCTTTTTGGAAGAGAAATTTTTAGCATGTGGTGAATAATCGCGTAATTTCATTCTTACACGACATGTGAGGATACACAAAAAATGTATTTGTGATATAATATAGGTTACTTTTTGCGAACTTTTTTTTACAATCTCTATCGATTTTGAAGGAGGAGGAGGAGGAGAGAAGTTGCCTGCGTTTTCCAAGATAAAAATTTTATTTTCATTTGTTCTGATTTCTGGATTTTTTCAATAAAAAGAAATTACCGTATAGATGTGTGTGATGTGCATATATATATAACAGTATTATTACATTTCTCCAGCGTATCGCATGTACGTCGATACGATTTATTCTTTCTTGGCTACATCGATACAGTTGAACACTACTAACTGTGAGGCAGGCCTTAACGGATAATAATAATTTAATTTAATTAATGGTTTAATTAATAATTACAATAAATTATACATCAGTTCATAACGCACACAACATTCTTCGCGATATAATAAATGGAATATTTAGGAAAAAGTTAGTAGTAATATTGCTCAAAGATAACTTTCCTTTGAGAAATCCGAAAAGCTTATTTGATTCATAATATTTTCTCGTCCTTTCCCGGTTAATGTAGTGTTGGCAACTGTGAAGAATGATTTGGCGGGATAATGTCCAAAATACCCCTTGGACGGAAGTAGATAAAGAGATGATTTGACGCGATTATCTTAACGATTGACCTTTCGAAAATTATCTTTGAGCACTTCTAAAATAGAAATGGACGGTACAGTCTTTTATTTGTTTGAGTCAACTCTGTCACGATGATATGTCATTTCGTTAGGCAACGTGCAGAAATATTCTCGCCCTCTCCGCTATGCTATACATATATATTGCGCTTTCGTTATCGTTCAAGTTTGCACGAGAAGAATAATGAAAACGTTCGATCTTGAATATCTCAGCGGTCACAGGCGGAACCCCTTGGAATGCCTCGACGTATCCGCCTCGATATTCTTATCGTCACCTGGACTGGTCTCTCCCGTGACATCTTCCGTGGGAAATTCATAAATTGGCTTAAATCCGCCAAAGAGTTGCGGCTTGAAATTATCGACGTCGAAGTCGTTTTTCTCAGTATTATCCATCTCCGGGCTGACAAGTTTTTTCGCATCGTCGTCACTATCTAGTTTCTTGTCCGCCGCCGCTTCTTCCGAAGGATCGACTACGACGACGCTCCAGCCATTTTTGCTAGGTGTCTCGGCGCTTATACTAGCGACGAAAGGAGCCATAAAGTGTTGCGGCGCTGGTGCCGAACTGGAAGAGCTGGACGGTTGCTGAGAGGGTAGCAACACCGTTGCCGTTCGTATGCCGTCGATGTTCGTTGCTGCACCGTCGTCGAGATGAGTAGGATACGTCGGCGTGTAAACGTAAGCGATCGGCGTTTCGGATGTTGACGACGGTGTCGTAATCGACGCTGTGCGATGCAGCGTCACGGAAATAGCCGCGTCGTTCTTCTTCTGAAACGGAAGAAAGTCTTGCAAGTACGGAATAACATTTATCGCGTCCTGCTCGTTTCGATCGGGAGCGGTAATTATTTGCTGTCGTTGATCGCTGGGTACCAACAGAGGCGTTTCTTTCGTGCCGGGAAACAGCGGATCGGGACGCTCCAACGGATACGGAAAGTCCACGGCGGGTCTACCATTGTAAACTGTATGGATTTTCTCGTCCTGGAGCAGAGTATCGGGTGGTAAGGGCCGGTGCGGCCCTCGCGTACCTACGACGACACTTCCGTCCTTTTCTTTCGAATCGTCCGGATTGTGTATGTTAACCGCGGTATTGACCGGGTATACAACGTACACAGGTTGTTCGGCCATCTCCAACGAATCGTCGATATCCGACGACTTTCTACGTTCCGCTTGTACGACAGGTTGCACAAGTTTAGCTTCGTTTTCACCATGGTGTTGTATCATCATTTGCAAAGTTGTAACGTGCAGAGGATCTGCCGTTCTACGCTTGGGGAACAGAGGCGGCCTCGGTGGCGGTTCCTCCGGGTAAAGATTTTCCGAGCTTTCGTCCGCGACTTCGCTTTTACCTCGAGGCGTCTTGCCGCTCTCGTTTCGCTGCTCATTCTGCTCGGTTGAACGATCGATCGATTTGTTGGCACTTCCTTCCGTGCTTCCGCGCAAAACCGGATAGTGCGGTGGGCGAAACTTTCGTATCGTCGGTTCGGTTTCGTGAGTCGAAGCATCCACTTTTAGCCTGACTGCATGGATCGGCGGCGGTGGAGGATTTAGACGCTGAAGATACGAGGGCGGCGGGGGAAAGGGCCTCCGTGACGACGGGTGATTTTGTCTGATTCTGGTCTGAGACAAGCCAGCTGGCATCGTTCCTATTACATCCGAGCCGAAGCGATGACCGTGGGATGCCTTTGCGTTAGGACGAAATTGGGGCAAGATGTTCGGTAACTTTGCGTCCGGTGAATACGGACGTCTCCTCGGTCCCGCGACATCCAACGGAGATCCCGAGTGTGGCTTGTGAATGCGCGGTGGTAACCGTGTCACCTCCGTTCGCAACGTATCGTAGTGATAATGATAGTGGTACGGCGGTCTGCCGGAGCTTTCCGGAGCAGGTGGCATCAGATTTTCCGCGAGCTGCGGTAAGTCTCCATCAGCAGTGGGGAGATTCGTTGTCGGCGACTCGCCGTCGATATGTTCCTCCATTATCGCGTCTTTCCCATTATTCGTGTCAATCGTTGCAGCGAAGGAACTTTGCAGGGGACCGGGCAGCCACCATTTCTGCATAGGGAGGCGATCCGCCACGGAAGCGTGGTACTTCATTTCTTTTATAGGACTGTGCGGCGGATTAGTGCGAAGAGTCTCGATATCCGATGAACTGCTGCCGTAAGGATTCTCTCCAGTGGCAGTCCCTATCGAATAATAACCACCGTCAACATTCTGACGATTTCCTAAAACGAAAGACACGGTGTCTTGATCCGGCGGAATGACGATATTGCTCGTGCTCACGACTTCCGCGCCGTCTTGTCCCGACTTGATTGTCGATCTTGTATTCGAATCGTAGCGCTCCGTAATGCTTTGCCCACTGTTTAAAACTTCCTTGACTGGCGACTTCGTTATTGAGGATTCCAGTGAGTTGCTCGCGAGTAGATCTTCTTGAAACGTACGCTGCGTGGAAGAAGGTGCCGTTGTAACGGTTGTACCTTCCGTGGTTCCAACAACCACCACGTTATCGGTACCGTCGGTACTTACCGTTGTTGTCGCATCGACGATAGTTGCGTTGGATGGTGTAAGGTGATTCTTTCTCTCCTGAAGCGACAAAGTGTAATCCTCTACTTCCTCCTCCTCCTCGGCTTCCTCATCTTCGTCAATGTCGTAAGAATCTTGATATTCTTCGTGTTGCGGCCTTGTTTCCACTTGATGAGGTAATACGAAATTATTCAGAGTCGGTTGATTTTTGTAGCGAACAATAGTTTCGTTCGGAATGTTGCTCTTGTCTGCTCCCAATTGCGACATACTCTCCTCCACCTTTTCATTCTCCTCTGCGATAGTGCGATCGATGATGGAACGAAGCGCTGTTGGAGTGGTAGATGGTTTCCACGTGGTCACGGCAGGTGCTTTAGTCGTGGAAAGTATAATCGCAACAGTCGACAATTTCGCTTTGAGATCAGTTTTGCTTTTCATCGATACGTAAGGATTCCCAGCAGGATGTGTGTCAACGTGATAAGGTCTATGATTGTACGTGTTGTAACTGTTGCCGCCACTTTGTACCTTTGTATTCGCATACGAATTTGAGATTAACGGATACTTGTCATTACCGATGTATCTGTCCGAGGAATAATTGATGGGCAAGTTTAAGAAATCGTGAAAATTCACCGTATATGTATTGATCTCATTTGGGCTGACATCATCGTCGTTTATCTTCGCCGTATCTTCCACGCCGTCAGCATTCTCTTGATGATAACGCCCGGTATAATTGAGAGCTCTGACGAGTGGTGCTTTCTCGAAGTCGATCTTACCGGTTATCGGGTCCTTCTCTAAAGAAAACGGCTTACCTCCATTGAAGGCGAAAGGATACGGGATATGGTAACGCGGTGGAACGTCGTTGTCAGTTGAAGACGCGACCGTGCTCTCCTCCGCCACGAGATCCGGGTCAAGGTCGTCCACATGTCTTTTACGTCCTAACGCGGAGGAATTCTTTCCTGACTTTGCATTATTGTCCAGGTGGCCACCCATCATTTGATTCTCGCCTGACACACATGCCAGAAGAACGAAAAGCATCCATAAGCATTGCCACATTTCTTACATACGCGGTGCCTGTGAAAGATGTTGCTTTCTGTAAATTTCCTTCCAACTATAATACCGACCGGATGGTAATATTTCATATAACGAGCAGTATAATAACATGTTGTGCAAATTAATTTGGCCGTTAATTGTGACTATAAAATGTCGACCGGAAAAATCTATGTAGAGACATTACGAAGACATAAAGCATCCGTGTCAATCATAGGACTAAAATTTGCTCTTTAGCTCGAGGAAATCGATCTTGGATAAATATAAACGGAATATGTACCACACCGTTAATTCTTTCCAGCAATCAACAGATCTCAGATGTTACACATTTTGTTAGAACAATCGTTGGAAACAACTTTGAATCCCCAATGAAGAATTAAAAACTCGCGAACTCTTATTTATTAAATCTCTGTTACATATTAATTTGCGCCTTGACCAAATTTATTAATTTGCGCTTTGACACTAATTATTAATTTGCGCCGTCACACAAATAATCTCTAAAGTGTCTTATCAATAATTAAATACATTTCTCTCAGATAGCTTTATACCTTGATTAAATAGCCAGAAGATAGTATCGCAGATAATATCGACTATGCGGCCTCGTTCGAGATTTCTTAGAACACTTCAAGTTATTTACATGTCCGTCGATCGATCAAACTTGACGATTCGATGTACAAACTTTAATAAGCCCCCGCTAATCTTGGTGGACAAAAAGTCACTCGCAGGCTCGTAACCCTGGAAGAAAGACGTATTGCGACTGAACAGCCTTGTCGTTATAAAATGGTAGGAGACGAGGAGGAAGACGAAAAGGAGGTGGCAGGAGGATACCGGTGGCGGTGGAAGATCTCGTTTGACCCGAAGAGTAGGAGAATGCCTCGGTCGAGGAAGAAATGAGGAAACGGATGATTACGATAGCTAAATCTGGCGTGCTATAAATTAAAAGGATAACGGAAATCTTTGTGCTTTTGTATGAAACGCAAAAAATGTTACTGATTTGAGCGCGTTCAAGCTGCGAATTATTTTCACAACGCTTCGTAACTATGTGAAAACGTGTAACGATTGATAGCAGAAAAGCAACCTAGTGAACACTTTACAACTTTCTGCACGCGGTGTATGTATCATGCTGGAATAAAATGGCGACTGCAATATCCTTAATAAGGATATTGAAAAAGAACCGTCATTTGGCAGAAAATCTTACAACAGCTGTTCCTTCCTAACGACAATGAAATAAAATCTGATTAAATGCGAATACATCTCTATAGGGTTGGGGCGACGAAAATGTTAGACGATTATAAGCTTAGCGAAATTTCGTACATATATATATATATATATTAGCGGTAATTGATAACATTTTCAAGATGAAGGACGTGGGCGTGCGCGAGTTCTGTTGCCGCTAACGTTACCGTAACACGTACAGGATATGTACATCATCGTATAGGAGACCGTTTGTTGCTGCTGAAAGGTACGGAGTCAGGGACGGAGAAACGGTACGTAGAACAGTTAGACGACGACCCACATTGCGCAGAGTCTCACACAGACCCGCTGCGTACAGGCCGGCGTACCAGTTTCTTCGACCTTGCACCAAACGGACATTTCGTCCATTTTTTTTTTTTTTATACTAACGACATTATTCAATTGCAAGTATCTAACGATCGGAATCGATTTACCATAGACAAAATTTACGATGATCTTACGTTGTGAATTTTTCGACCAACTTGGACGAGATGTATGTGTGGGAGTGAGTGGCAACGGGAAAAATCTTTTTTATTCTACCAATTATTTTTTGGGAATATAACACATCTAGAGCGCGAGCGTCTGTTATCTACTAGAATTCCCGCCTCTCGGTAAAAGCAAAATATTTTCATATGCTCGTGTCTCCTCTTCCATGTACTGGCAATCCATCGAGAGAGCATCTTTGCCACGAAAAACTGCCGTTCGGCGTTAAACTGTATATACTTGTATATAAAATCTGCTTGCGCACCACAAGTATATGGATATCGGAAGACGTTATAAAACCAATATGCATACGTAATATATCTATACGTACTCAATACGAACAAATATCACACATTTATGCATATTTATACGAAATGAATATGTAAGCACGCGCGTGCGCTGATAAATTTCAATTATCATGTGCGCACTTATCATATGACATTGATTATATTTATAACCAGCTAATCCTCCGACATTAGTCGCGTACAGTCAGAGGTGCAGTTTCATCGCACGTAGCTACCTTTATTTCGAAAGAAATATTTTCTTCGCCTCTTTTTCTAAAAACATCACAGATACAATAATGCGAGCCGTGAGTATTATTATTATTGTATCCATTCTGATAAGTGAACGAAACAAGATCGACGCAAAACCGAACGATGAACAATGGAAGGAATTTGAAGAATTTCTGAACTGGAAACAAGAGAAGGAGCAGCGCAAGTACGATACAAATTACAACACATTGACGACGCAAGTTCGTGAGATCGATGGAAAGGATCATAACCAAGTTGTACTAGACCCACCGCCAATGAATGAGGCAGCATTAATGGCCAGATACATCGTTAATCAAGCTGGTAATCTAACAATGCGATACCATTTATATGTAATTCTTTCGCGATAATGACAAATTATTTCATTTCCGCAGTTTAAGTCTTTTAAATATCTATTATACTTCATTTATGTAATCTTGGTAGCATATTTCGTTAGCGTTACACTGGCTCACATTGGCCATGATGACGAATGACTATATAATCGATTTTACATGTGTATAAAGCCAGCGGCACACGATGCGTGCTGAATTGCTTACCGGATAGAACTACTGCGATTGGTGCATTTCCAAAAATAGATGACAATACACCAATCAAGACGCAGCATCCAGCAAACAATCCAGCACGAAAAGCAAGCATCGTGTGTCGCTAGCTTAAAAGCTGTGTTCTAAAACTGTTATTGCTTCGTTATCGGCGCAAGTTATGATAACAGCGATGTAAATAAGACGTAACAAGTTATGTTTGTATTACTCATATGTTGCATGATTCTTCTATATACTAATATCGGATCGTCCGTTAAATGGCATTCGCCTTTTCTACATAAAATGTGTTAATAACATATATAAGAACGGTGATCATGCACGTTAGTCAAACATAACCTATTATTTGTGCTGCTCGATGAGAGTATTGACCACCTTGCAATTGACCATCACCAATCACAGCCAGCCGTGATTTGGTATTTTTCTAGTATTGGCCAATCGGTGTAGGTCCAATAGAGTATCGGTCCAATAGAGACGTGTTTAATTCCATCTGAATACGATACAGAAAGGTCTCGGTATACTGAATTTGAAGCATCGTTTCTGAGTCATAGCTGCTGATTATTATATGAACCGATAACGGTAGTCGTCGATATGATGCGTCTAATTCGAATTGTCCGATATGTCTAGAGAATAGGACAATCTTTCTGTCCACGACTGTACCGAGAAAAGTGTCCATTTAGAAACCGCATATCGATATTTAATATTGAAGAATATTTACGATAAAAAATTGTGTGTTAAATTTAACACAACTACAGACATAATGAATCTAGATCATTCATGGTCGAATAATATATATTTAAGGCAGTCTTAGATTTATGTTATGTTATCTTGCAAATAACTCAATGTGTAGCACGTTTGGTCACGTGTGCGATTCTTCTGAAGATTTTGGATATTAACTGATACAAAATAATGCGGAGCATATATACGATCGTTTCAAGTATGAGCCCAGACATATATTAATATATTACACGATAAAAGAAAAATGTCATAAATTGAGAGTTCTTGGTATCATTGTTCGAGATTACTTTCTTTCTGGAAAAAAATAACTCTCTGTCATTGTCTTATATATAAAATGAAAGAAGAGACAAACATTATTATCGCTTCTGTATCTATTGGCAGATTGGACGGCTGTAGCAACGATAAGCACACGAAGAGATGTCGCGACGTTTCCCGTTGCGAACATAATTGCCCTTGCCGATGGACAAATCGGTAGCGGATCGGGAATCCCATATGTGTATCTCACCCATTTTGACTTTACCGCTCAAGATCTTGCTGTAAGTGCAATACAAAAAAGGTAGAAAATAAACGAAAAATGTCTGTTATTATGCACATAGCTGTATGATAAGAAAATTCTCCCATTGAATATCGTATATCGGAGGCAGTGTGAATCCTCCATTAGTCATAGACCGATATTCATAGTCGGATCTTATATCAAGTACTCACCTTCGGATGTTTCATAGCCAATGAATCGTACAGCATCTGAAGATGAACTAAAGACGGTCTTTGATATAAGATGTGACTATGAATATCGGCCATAAGACGGCGTATTCACAGGCTGCGGTCCAGCGTCATTCTATCTTTATTACATATTATTACATGCCAAAGATTCATTACATGTCAAAGAAAAATAGATGACGAAGAAATCTTTGTTTTCTTTTTTTTTCCTGATCAGTCAATTATACTTTAATCGATGAATAGGGTTTTGGAACTCCCCAATGAGGACATCCACGTGCAATCGACGTGAGATCCAAAGGAAGGAAGTCGATTCCACGTCGATTCAACGTTGATTCCATAGATGTGGGGTCAGCTCTGCGGGTAGATCATGTATCTTCTCATCTAGTGTGAATTCGTGAAAAGTATAAATTTTATAATTTAAAAACGCTCGAAATTTTCATCTTTCTCGTTCCTCACACTTCCAACCTGGGGAAAAGTTACCTGATCAATACCTTAGTTTTTATTCAATTTACAGCTTTTATCGCCAACTTTTTTATTAATTCATCAAAAATATAACACGACAACAATTGACAATTAATACAGGTGGACCATCGTGCGACTCTTCTAGTGACATTGGCACAAGGCAACTATTGTAAGAGCAAAGATTGGGACCCAATGGACCCGCGATGTGGAAGAGTTTTCCTAACTGGAACGATTAAAGCAGTTAGTACATTTATAAATTATATCGCGTCTTTCTTATTATTTTTACATTAAAATAATATTTTTTAACTCCATAACAGCTGATGGATAACACTACTGCAGAATACGTATTTGCAAAACAAGCGATATTTGGTCGTCACCCACATTTGAAAAACATGCCTGAAGGTGACAACTCGTTTTGCAAAATATCACATAAATTAATCATTTACATTTAATCACACTGCAACATTTTTTTATATACAGATCATCATTTTTTTATCGCCAAGTTGAAGATATCAGCAATTGCTATGGTAGACAACTTTGGTGGACCGAAATACATCGCCATAAATGATTATTTGCATCCAGCAGCGGACAATATTGAGGAAGGATTGCAACGTTTTTTAATGGAACAGGCGTCTCGAGAGAACTTCAATTCTAAAGTGAAGCTCCCAATTTATGAAGCTCGCAGAGTATAGGACTGAAACAACCATTGAAAAGGATATTTCTTATCAATTTATATAATGTTAATAAAATCATTTATTTCTATACGCATATATGTATTGAAAATTTTACATTAAATCAATATAAATGAAATAAAAGGACTCTAATTCAAAATTTAAAGCGCAAAGTAAAGAGTACACGCACGAATCAACGATTCGTAACTTGCGAATGATATCCAATGAGCGTACGGAACAGCAGTACGTTCATTGGTTATCACTCGCCAGTTATGTCATATGAATAGTATGATTCAAGAATCGAGCCACAGTTGTATTAATGCGATTATGCGGTAATATAGTTGAAAAGGATCCAATTTTATATTACATATTTTATATTGTTTTTGTATCGCAAGTCAACAAAAAAATGTATATGAGACTTGGAATTTAGAATCAAAATGGATTTTCTTTGGATGAATTTCGGAATGCCATTCTTGAAATTGCGAGTTATAGTTATATTTATTCAATCTAAAGATGCCGTCACATGAATGACGAAAAAGCGAAGTGGGAAAAATGAAAAGCGACCAATCGGAATCATTCATACGGCGTTTTCCATTAGTTGATTCGACTCGGGATAATACTAGATTGTCGATTGGTTCTAGTATTCTTCTAGTTACTTTGCTTGCATGCGACATATAGCGTTTTCAATTTGCTGACTCGTCTCGGGATCGTCGCATTCTGATTGGTACATACCTAAAAATGTACCAATCGAAAACGCCAATAATCTCGCACGTTTTCGAAAATTCAGACCCTTTGTGGCCAATAATCAGATCTTTAAGACCGTCTAAGTTTATCTTCAAATGCTCTATTTCATTGGCTTCTGCTCACAGGACGCGGTAACGGCGCAATAAAATTTTAGTTCTCGTGGAAAAACGGCACGTTGATTGGCTACCGCTTCTTGCCGTGTCCTGAAGATCCGTTTATATAGAATACCGGCCCGTGTGTTTCCGACGCACTAGTAAGACGTGTTCAGTGGTTCTTGCACGTGTTCGTTAGGCCTTTGTTCATTTCGATTATTTTCGATGAAGTCGTTGCTGTCTAGACAGAACTCAATCTTTTATATATACATATATATTTTCATCTTAACAATCTAATATTCTTTATATCCAAATAATCATTGAATGGTGTTGAGGGTGTACCTTTAGGACGCCCCATAACCATATTGAGAGAGAAAGCGTGTCGACGTATTTGTATTCACGTGAAACATCCATATATCCTGTGACTTAACTTTGGCGGTATACGAAGGATCATGACTTTCCGAGGACGCGGTGGAGGATTTAACAGAGGAATGGGTGGCTTTAGAGGTGGCAGGAATTCTGGAGGATTTAACAGAGGACGTGGTTTCGATAGAGGCAGTAAAGGGTAGGTTATAGATATTAAGATAATTATTACAATAAAATATATTATAAAGAATAAAATGTCGTATCGGATTAGGTAGAAAGGAAGAGAGAGAGAGAGAGAGATATTAATGTTGAACTCTATATTCTCTTTGAATTTAACACAGGTATGATCAAGGTCCTCCAGAAGCAGTAACACCATTAGGACACTTCACATGGACTGTACAAGATGAAATCGTCGTTAAAGTAGATATCGAACAAGTACCCTTTTTTAATGCTCCTATATATACTGAAAACAAGCAACACATTGGAAAAATAGATGAAATATTTGGTAATATCCGTGATTATTATGTGTCGGTTAAGTTATCAGACAATGTAAAGGCTTCTAGTTTCATAAAGGATACTCAGGTATTGTAATATTATATGTATAAATGCATGTTAACGTTTATATTACAAGTATTATTATTGTGGTTGTTGATTTTAGTTATACATTGATCCAGCAAAATTGCTGCCTCTTCAAAGGTTTTTGCCAAGACCACCCGGGGAACAAAAAAGAGGAGGTAGTACTGGACGTGTTATGAAAAGAGGCGCTGGTGGAAGAGGAGGGAGGGGCGGTAGAGGATCTTATGGAAGAGGAGGAGGCTTTGGCAACAGAGGCACGGGTGGATTCAGAAGTCGTGGGTTCAATCGTGGTAATGCAGGTGGAAGTCATAGAGGAGGTAGAGGAAGGTGGTAAAAATTGAAGAATGACTGCAAGAAATTTTCTTCGACAAATGCGTTAAAATGTTACACAATGTTAAAATGTATACACAATGTTAGTGATCAAGTGAAAATATGGATCAACAAAAGAAAAAAAAAACACGATAATACTATCTTGTTACGATGCGTTTTTGATTTTATTTAATTTTCATGATAATTTAAACGATATCAATTAGATGATACATTTATATCCGCATGCACACACATGTATTGATGCAACGTATGTAATATAATCTACAGATTTTGTAAGAAACCAAACAAGTCAAACCTGATCGAATTTTATACATTTTCCAAGCTCCTTTTCTGCTCTTTTCAATAATTTATCACGCCCTCTCTGCTTGAATCTTTTTTTATTATGCAGCTTTTCTTGCCGATCCTGTTCTATTTTATTCCAATATAACTTCTCTTCATCGTCTGGAAAATGAATACGATTAATGCATTCTTTTTTTTTTTAATTGCATATACAGATGATTATTTACCTTTTAAAATTGTCAAATGTCTTCCTTCGTAACTTTTTTGTACGAACGATTGTGCAGCTTCTGCTGTATCACATCTCACGTACGCTTCGCAGGAACCATGCGTTACATCTATATATTTTACACAATTGTCGCCTTTCAAATCCATCTAAAGCAAATATTTCGATTTAAGTGGAAATTTCTCAAAGATAATGACGTAGTGATGAAAGTATATACCTTGAAACTTTGTAGATCTGTACAAGGCTGATTCATTTCAATTTTCACTATAATTCCTGGTGTATAATTGATACGTCCATAGCATGATTGTTCCGCTTTGTCGACTTTTTCGTCCTTTTCATATTTCGGTTTTTGGTCACAATTTTGCCCAGCTTTGTCATAATTCCATCTTGTTTTCTTCAAGTGCAGTTTCAATTGTTGCATCTTGCCCTTTTGTAATTCTAAGTATTTATTTCTAAGCCGTTTCCAATCTCGTTTGGCCATTACTTGCATCATATCGCTAGTGATATCCTTCTGAAAATTGCTCCTCTTTTTACGATTTTTCTTCTTTTTTCTTTCATCAGCGCCGGTTTCTTTTTCCTCGATATTGCTACTTATTGCGTCAGTATCTCTTTCCACAGGGTACTTTCCAGCTTGTAATACAGATTCCTTATTACTGTCATCGTGACGTTTATCTACAGATTTAGCCATTTCTATTGCTTGATTTTTATCTAATTGTGCCGTTGACCCACGCGAATCTCTTTTTACCATTCCTTCGTATCCTAATTTAGATGTATCATTTATTGATAACTTTCTCTTTCTCTTTCTATCGGTTTCTACGGTCTTATTGCGATTAGTAATAATATCTTTATTCGATGTTTCTTGATTTTCCATATCGCTATTATGCTGATCAGCTATATTTTGATCCGTAGTTGTTCTCCTTTTTTTTATTCTAACACCATTTTCATCTACAACAAATGACTTGGCTGGAACAAGTTTTCTTTTTCCTAAAGAATGTCTAGCGTTGGTATCTAATTGGTCAGTTTCGTTCTCGTGAACATCATTCTTAGTTTGGTCTTTCGCAACATTTTTTTTGTCGTCACCGGTTGCAACCGTCTCCTCAGGGATGTGTTGCTCTGGTTTATTACATATTGTAAGATTTTCATTATTGAAAGTAGTTATACTCAACAGATCACTAGGAGATGTATGAGATGGCAAGACACATCCTTCTTCTTGAAATGCCTGTATAATGACATTTATTTACAAATATTATTACATTTCTACAAATATTATCCATGAGTGAAATAATTTTCCTTACCTTAATACATTGTTTAGCGCTTGTTGGAGTATCAAATTCCACGAATGCAAAACCCTTTATTTTCTTATTGCTTTTGTATCGAGGAATTGAGACATATACTACTGTACCATATTTGGAAAAGGCAGAAATCAGCCAATCATGATCGGTATCTGGAGGTAGATTTTGTACATAAACTGTACATTCATCCGTATCTTCCTTTTTGTTAATAGGTGTCAATCGACAGACCTTTTTGCCATCTTCAGATACTTTTAGCACTGTTGATCTTTGTAAAGCCTTGGCTATTCTACTTGTATCCGTAGTTAATGTGCTTAATTTATTAAAATTTGCAAATATATCAAGATCTACGTCTAAGGGACAAAGTACGATATAATTGGAATTTCTACAAGTAAAGCATATATTCTGGATACATATGATCAAACTTGGATAATTTTGCGGGAAAGCATGTATACTTACAAGGATTTTTTTTCAAAAGTTCTGACAAGTAGCGATCTTTATTCAAATTGGCATCGCTGAAATAAAACTCCATTTGTTTGAGTATCGCAGCATGCAATGCTTTTTTCCTTAGTCGTGGTTTACCACGCGAAACACCCGACCTGCTATTGAGCTTAATCAAATCCATCTTCGGCTGTTGTATCTGAGGCACAGGAATTCTTTCCGAGGCCAGCTCTATATTCGATTCCTGTTCTTCCATCACCATTGTATTCTCAAAGGTCCATATAACTGACTATCGAATAAAATATGTTGTCTGCAATCGCAAGAATGATACGTGTGAAAGAAGCACTTTAATTTTCAGATTCACCTTACTCAAATCTAACCTATTCAAGTTGAACTATCACTTCACTCATTTGGGGGCCGCCGAATCGCAAGCCTCCTCCTACACCATTTGCAACTTTAAGCATAGTCTACAATGGGAGTATGTTCGTAAGAATAAGAAATTAGATTCGAATGTAAGGAGAATAATCGATCAGTTAATTTCTTATCCCGTATACCGCCCACGTTTTATATTAATGAGAATTTAAGATTTAAGAAATTGATCGGTCATAAGCGGTTTTTCTTCTACAATGTGATTGGTCAATTTCTTGAAAATATCTATCGTAGACCGAAAACACTTGAAACAACACGATGCTTACTTCGTGCTGGATCGGATGGAAATACTGTGTTCTAATTGGTGCATTTCCGAAAATGGATGACCAATCAGTATTTCCATCCAGCTGGCGATCGTGTACCGCTGGCTTTAGTCTCCGACAATGCTCATCGTACGACCCATGTAAGACCTTACAATAGAATATATGTTAGGAGTAGGAATAAAATATTAGGAATTATTTTCACACGACAGAATGAAACGAACAGCTGTATGGGACAATTTCTATATTTCATTCTTTATATTTAATCACACTATCCATGATACATTGTACGCTAATCAGCAGCCTCGTGTGCTGGAAATGCTCGTACCAAGATCTAGTTGATTGATTTATGTTGATAGAGGTTTGAAAGAATATCTAGTAATTTCTAGTAACTTTTGTACCCAGCCAACAACTCTGTCCTAGCATCATGGACACAAGGCCTAATAAAGCAGAATTTCACGATGGAAACGGTTGCCGCCACTGCAACGGAAGCGGAAGTTCAGTAGGTTCGGTGCTGAAGCAAAGCTTCCATTTTCTCGGGGCTCTTGTTGCGAGCATAGAGCACGTGTTTATCACCGCCGGTCGCTTTTCATCGCGCTCTTACGACACAACGCCTTCTTCGTCTTGTACGGACGTTTCGACCAAACGTCAATCTCCGACGCTACTCAATCCCTCACCAGGCAAAGTTCTAATTCGCCGCAGAGGTTAACGCTATGAATCCAGAGAAACTGAAGAAGTTGCAGGCCCAAGTGCGAATTGGCGGCAAGGGTACACCCCGGCGCAAGAAGAAGGTATGTTATCAATCGAACCGTGGGAATGATGATCGTTCGGTTGTTATTGGTTCGTGCCGTTGTCATGTTATCGGCACGAGTTTCTTCCTCTTCTGTGAACATTTTCGAATACTTCCCACCTCTTTCTCACTATTCTTTTCTCACATAGTCAAATTTATATAACGAAGTTGTTGTGAATCTACAAAAATCACATATAGCAACATTTTCCTACCAAGAACGAACAAGTAGGTATCTTGGTGTATTTTCACTCTCTCTATCCTCTTGGTAACAGACAGTGATCTCAATTTCTTCTAAAGGTGCCTAGAGAAATAAATTACATGTCTTTCCTCTATCATTCTCTATGTCTGCAAAATAGACAAGATATTGTTGCTGCTTTTTAATTTTCTAAGGATCTAACATAAGGAAAAAATAGTTGCAAATCTTGTCTAATGAATTAACGAAATGATTTCACCATTTATTGAAGCACTTATGTTGTCTGGTTATAAAACTGGAATAATTTTATCAAAATATTTTTGTAAAACCTAAGAAGTGTGCCTCTTCTTCTTCATATAGTTAGTTGTATAATTCTCAACTGTTTTTGTGAAAGATGAAAATAATCGGTGAGTATCATAGCGTGTTTACTATTAATCCCATCATAAAATTGATCGGTATCAGTCACCTTTATACATGTATTTTGGTATTTTTTATCTTTACAGGTTGTACATGCAACCGCTGCCACAGATGACAAGAAGCTACAAAGCTGTCTGAAAAAGCTATCTGTAAATACAATTCCTGGTATAGAGGAAGTTAACATGATCAAGGATGATGGCACGGTCATTCACTTCAACAATCCAAAGGCTCAAGCCAGTTTATCCGCAAATACATTTGCTATTACTGGTCACGGTGAAAACAAACAGATCACTGAGATGTTGCCTGGAATATTAAGTCAGCTTGGTCCTGAAGGTCTTACGCAACTTAAACGACTAGCTAGTACAGTTGCTGGTAGCGCAGTTGGCAAAGCCACATTGGAGGAAGATGACGAGGTGCCAGATTTGGTGGAAAACTTTGATGAAGCCAGCAAAGAAGAGGTGAGATTATAATTAGTCTTCTAATAGAGACTTTATCATGTTGAAACAGATGAGCCTGTAAAAATGTAAGGTGAAGTGAGTATTTTGATTCAAGGATACATTATACATTTTAAATTATTTAAACTGAAATTAGCTAAATTATGAGAGAGTAACCAAATTATGGTTTTTATTAATTATATAATCATTACTATCATATTACTGTTACTACTATAATTATAGTAATAACGATTATTAAATGGTTTTATTATGTTTCAAGGTGGCTCCGAAAAAAGAGTTGAATGAGAATGACAAAGCAGCTGGTGATAAAAATGATACTATTGTCATTGAAGAGAAGAAAGAAGCACCGTTAGCTACGCCTGAAGCTTAAGAAGAGAATATTGAAGTAACTAATTGATGAACTTATCATTATACAGGGTGTCCAAAAAAACTCTGTAAATTCGTAACAATAAGGTTATGTAATCTGCAATTCTGCTTTTTTTCAGGTGTTTCTCTCTCTCTCTCTCTCTCTCTCTCTCTCTCTCTCTCTCTCTCTCACACAAATACGCGCACACACACACACACACACACAGAGTATACGTGCGTGCACATACACACACATATAAATACACACACATCAGGTATAGTTGATAATTAACAAGTCATGAAACGCAAAGATAATGCGTAAAGTATATAATAACTATACACACAAGTTGCAAATACTTGACATACTCTATATGTACTTGCTATATAAGTAACAGTTGACGAGAAATAAAAAGAAAGCTGTTACAAAAATGACACATTTCCTAAATATCTTTTTTTTCCATGCCATTGCTAAGTTTAAAAAAATTGACTTAATGTTTCTATTCTTTTCGATGTAATATCGTGTAATTCGTTAATTATTTTGAAATAATTAATAAGTAACCGTTATTTTGCATTTTTGTTTGATCTAATAAAAATCGTTCATTATACATAAATTGACAAAATGTTCTAAGCAAATTACAAACGTACAATCTTATTGCAACTGAAGATCGACTGTCTTTCGGACATTTTGTATTCAAAGAATACTCTCTAAAAATAACGTTTGATAATTTTATTGTGAAGAATGATTATCTAAATTCTTGGTATCGATCACTTTCTCTAGGGTGGAAATGAAAAAAATGAAATGTTTTCAAATTACAAAATTTATATTTATTTTTCACGAATTCACGCTAGAGGAAAAGATTTATGATCCGTTGGGGGTTAATCATGAAACGTGAAAATTCCAAATGTCTTCAAACTAGAAAATTCACTCATTAGGGAGAATTCACACCTTGGCGGAAAAGCAGCAGCCAATCAGAACTCGCGCTAGTAGTAAGCAGTAGGTAAAGCAGAAACTGTCGATTACCAGCGCGAATTAGCTGCTGTTTTTTGTCAAGGTGTGAATTCTCCCTAATTGATTCAACGGAATTAACCAATCGCATTGATCAATTCAGCTAATTGTCCAGTGCGACCAGGTCAATCCGTCGAATTAATCATCGATTAGATTTAAACCATGAGAAACGGACATATGTCGTTATCGGGTGTCGGAACGCGTCCGATGAAAAAGAAGATTCGTTTTCAAAAAATAAGTTCCCTCATTCGTTTCACTTGAGCTAATTCCGATATTCGACCCCGACGTAAGATTTATTAAGTAACAAACCTAAGTCTTGGTTCGCAACTTTAAGACATAAACAGTAATCAACCACGATCGATTATTCTTCTAATAAGCGACTGTGATCGGTCAATTTGCTTACGCTAAAGCAAGGGCGGGATCTATATAATAGTAAACTTTAAGCCGTAAAAAATTGGCCAATCACAGTTGAATTATAAAAGAATAATCAATTGTGATTATTTCTTACTATTGTAGATCTGGGCTGAATCCTCGTCTACAATATAGGTGTTTTAAGCCCTAAGAAATTGACCAATCGATTATTCTATTTGACTGTAATTGGTCAATTTCTTAAGGTTTAAAATGCCTATTGTAGACCGGGGCTAAGAAGATTACTAAATGTTAGAATTATTATTATTACATTAACACATATATATGAATGGTCAGGAAGCAAAGGTACTTGGTAAAGGTATTAATATTAAATTTGAACAAATAGAGTTAAGTACCAGGTGATACTTCTCATACTCAGTCACCATAATATTTATTTTAGAATGTTCGTAGTCTGTCCCTCCACTTGTTTTTTTCATTACTATGTACTATAGCACGATTTAAATTTTTAAGGTCATACATAAAAAGTTTACGGACTACTATTTACAGAGAAGATAATATTGCGTTGTGCCAGAAAACGTTACACTTATTACCATTTTATTTGTCTGGTAGTTTGTCTATCTAAGGAAGTAATCGATTGTTACGCGCAAGGTACTGTCTTCTTTCTCCTCTTCCTATTTCTTGTTCCTGTTTGTGTATTACAAACTAAGAAGTTATTTATCACATCTACTCAATATCACACGTCTGTTATTTTTTCTAAAGTGAAAATCATTCTTGTATTAAAAATTTAATATAAATTAGGTAAGTTTCGTGAACTATAACGTTTGATAAATCTTTTGAAATATTTTGCATGAATAGAAAAGAGCGAGGCTAGTTATATATGGTTGAGGCGGACAAGTTGCTCTACATGTAATAATCTTTAAAATAACAAATGATAGCATTGCTACATTGCACAGAAAATATATATGGTCGTGAAAGTATTGTAATAATGTTACAAGTGTAATGTATCTACTTCGCATCTAATTGCTACAAGCAATTAAATATTTACACTATTAGAGAAAATATAAAATAAATTGGAACTTTGAACCTAAATGTTATTTTTATGTAATAAAGGACAATTTTGCAAACTTGAAAAAATTCTTTTGAGGGATATATTATTGGCCAATTAAATGGTAGAGGAGAAGGTGGTATTAAGGCTTTGTACGATCTCAACAAACGAATTACAAATGCTTTACGTACTAACGATGTTACAAACGTCATCATGTTTGTTCTGGAGTGGCACCCCTTCATATCTCCGCTATCAAGTGACGAATTTTAGCGATTATTTTAATTATATTACCCGCCGTGGCGCAAATATGCCAATACACAGTGGCCGGCATTTCTTATAATGCATTTTTATTTTCAAATATTTCGAAACATTTTTAAGATATATTCTCGTATTTAATTATACGTACTTTCTCATTCTTAAATTTGGGCGTCACACGAATATATGTGCTTCAATATTTTCTTCGTTATTTAACATTTTATTTCGCTATACATATTTTGATTTATGCAAAGTTAAGCATACTATTTTGCCAATTTAATCCCCACTGAAATTGATTTGATCTCTTTTTCGAGAATTTCATATCGAAGTAGTAATTATTCGATGAGTTAATAAATCAAGTTTAAAAGTCTGCAAGTCGTTTTGTAGAAATAGTTCTTTTGACATCTGACAAGCAAGTCAGAGTATCTATTAAAAATTCATGGTTATATTCATTGTTGTTCTTTCTAAGAAAATTTATCTTGAACAAATATACCTAGCAAATTTCTCTCTTATGTAACTGTTGCGTATAACCCACATGTTATATCGCATTTATACTGTCGAATGGAAAATTATAACATTGATGTTATGTTACTGCCAGTTTGCTTGGTATATAAATTTATAAGAAAACACTGTTTTTTTTTTTTTTTTTTTTTTTTTTTAAAAA